GGTAGCAACTATATTCTGCCACCATCAGTTTTAAACTTTAAACCAAACCATTTGGATTAAGCGTTTGAAATCAGATTAAATAACATGAATACAATATATATTATCTTGGTATGAAGATAATTTCACCAATATTCCAGAGAACTAACAACTATATCCCACCATGAGTTTAAACTTTCGACCAAACCATTTGGATTAAGCACTTGAAAGATCAGAATAAATAACATGAATCCAATATATATTATCTTGGTGTGAAGATAATTTCACCAATATTCCAAAAGGCTCACAAGAGATCAGATTATAAAAGTAAAAACAGATAAACTCACCAGAATTCAGCCATTTCACTCGAAGGTATTTGCTTCGACAATGACTCGTAAAAAATTCTCAATGGTTCTCGCTGCAAATCAGTAGTAGAAAATAAGGATAGAATTCATTAGAAAATCAGTATCGATAGAGTAAATAAAAATTCTAGCTGAATACAGAACCTCCTCTGGAACATCGAATTTTTGGCCTGGCAAGGAATAAACTTTCTTCACTCTGGTTTTGGTGACTGTTGTCGTGGCACCTTTCAATTGAGTGGATGTCTTCTTTACCTTCACTTGATCAAAATATATTGAAATCAATTATTTTAATTGCTGAAAGTTGGAATCTCTAGCACTATAGCTTAACAAAAATCATTCTAATAATTATCCATCTGTGCAACTACAAAAAACCCTGTAAAAAAATATGTATATCTAAATAGCATGGAAAATTCAACAATCCTCATAAAAACCCATTTGCGTCCTACAGGAAAATCTGTGACAAGCAAGTGCTATTACGCAAGTGTAAGATTAATTCACAATCCTATATCAAGCATACACATATACGTGTAACACAACAAAATGAAAGCTGGTGATCGGTAATTAATAGGGGATTCATATTGTAGAAACTCCCTACAATATACACTCACCAACCATCACGAAACCAACCGCCTCAACAAAAGGAAAAACTTAATTTAATCTTATGATTTAAAAACCAAGGCTATGTTTGGAGGACAAATAAGCTAGCTTCTTCCTTATTTGGTTAGCTTATAAGCTTCCTGTATTTAAATAAAACTCGTTTGGTAGGACAAGCTTTTTTAAAAAGCTCCACCTTATCTCATAAGCTTGTTTGGGTAGCTTTTCAAATGAGCTCGTTCAAATTTTTATTTCAGCTAGCTTATCAGCTCATTTTACATAACACTTTTATCAAATAAACTACCTTTTCAAGTCATAAGGTATAAGCTATAAGCTCGAAATTACTATAATAAACTATAAATTAGCTTACTTTTACCAAACATAGCCCAAGCCCAAGTAGTTTCAACAAATACGAATCCAAATCAATCAAAAGATAGACCGGCTATAATTCTAGCAATTCGGATGATAAAAAAATGGGAAACCAAATCAAATTCAGTGATAGAAAAAACAAGTAACTCTAACAAAAACTGAAGGATTCAAAGTCGGATCTTTGCATAATGGCACCTCAGATAAACATCGGAGACAATCAAAAACGATGAATAAATACTAATAAACAAAAATGGGATCTTTTGTTTTTTCAGATGGGTACCATTTTGGAAGCAGTAACGGTGGATTTGTTTTTGGCATCAGCTGAAGAAGAATTCTTGATTGATACCTCAACAGATTTCTTCTTGGTCACCAATGACGAATCAACCCTGCTGGGCTTTGAAGATGACGACGACCCATCTCCAGTGTTGGCCCTCGATTTCATGAAATTGCTGGATTTTGCAACCGAGGCCATTATCGAATCTATAAATTCCTAATTCGGACCTGTTCAATCTTGGTTTTTTCCAAATCTATGATGTAAATAGTAGCAACAATTTTTTCTTGACTTGATTTTGAGGAATAATAATGAGGATTGAAAATGGAGGAATTGGGATAAATGAGAAGAGAGATGGGGGAGGTTAGGTTAGGTTAGGTTTAACAAAAAGTGGTGAATCGTCTTTTACGGATGCTGTAACTAATAATTTTTCACTGTTACATTCAGAAATAATGAAATTTTGTTTTGTGTTGATTCTTGTCTGAAATCTGAATACTTTGAACATTCTCAGATTTCGAAGATATTTGGATAGAAGAAATGTAAGAAATTGCAGGAAGATGTCCAATTCTGTTATAAACAAGTGGTGTAATTTACCACTATTTGATCAGATCAAAACATATATATAGATTCATACAATTTGGTATATATATATATATATATGTATATATATATTGATCATCTCATAAATGCACATAATTATATAATTTAATAATTTTTAAAAATACAACTTCAAAACTTTTTATCTTTATACAACTCCATTAAAAAAAAAAAAAAAATTATACATTTATATTTTAGACATGTTTCAAAAATAGAACTTCATTTATTTTTATTTATATTGGTATTATTGAATTTATTAAATGTAATTAACTATTTATAATTATTAAATTTAATAAATTATAATAAAGTTAAGACCATAATTAATAAAAATGAATAGTTGTGATAACTACATAAGTACATATACACTATTTGAACAAAATTATTTTTAACAAGAAATTAAAATTCAACATTTATTACAATTTTTTAACGGTATAAAATTTGTTAACAAATGGAAAGGAATTAAAAAAAGTAAAAGAGAAGAAATAAAAAGGAAAAAATGAAGAAGAGCGAAGATAAAAAAAAAAATATAACAAAGATAAGCTGAAAAGAATAAAGAAAATAAAAGAAGGACATTTACATCACACTGCACATAGGACACACGCAACTTTCTCTCACCATTTTATTTTCTTTGTATTTTTTTATTTCAACTTTTAGAGGTTTAGAAGAGGTTTGTACAGTTAACACAGGTTTGTGTGATCAAACCTTAAACCTCTCATTTCTAACAACAAAACCTATAGGTTTACATTTATAAACCTCTTCAAAACTTGCCGCTAAAGATGCTCTTAAAACTTATCATTGTAATTATTATATTAATATGTATGTTGAGATGTGTGCCCATTTTTATCTATAAAAGGGCAAGTACTATAGTGCAAATTTGGTACGGAAAAAGGAAGAAAGAAAACAAAGATAGTCTGTTACAGTTTATATCCGGTTTTTTATACATTGTGTTCTTTATATTCCCCGTATTTTATAACACGTTATCAGCACGAGCGCTCTGGCACAGTCAAAGATATATATACATACTACCATTATTCTTGACAAGTTAGACTCTGCCACAGTCAAGGATATCTAGTATGAATATACTAAATATGATATTATTTACACATTACCATTATTATTGACAAATTAGGCTATGCCATAGTCAATAATATGTGGTAAGATGATATTATTAAATTTGCTTATGAATTATTATTCAAGTTATAATAAATAATATTATTACTTATACTTAACACCCACAAAATGGTTTACCCAGTAATGTGGCGTGAAATTTATAACTGCTTGTTCTTGTCCCACCGAAAGATTTATCGAGTAGTGTGGAGTGACATTTTTATTTGATTTGTTATTTATAAAATTGTTTACGTAATGACTCGGTGATTTTTTAAGGTAATATACATGATTAATTAAAATTTTATGATCATAAATGATTAATTAGCAAATATTATATCATTAAATTTGGTTCCAACGGCTACTTAACGGCTATATTGCAACGGCTATTTACCAATATCTATATATAACACTACAATTCATTTTCATAATCCAAACACTCAAAAATATATTTTCTTTATTAGACAAAAAAAATGTTTGATCCATTACTTATAATTACCATTATCTTGTTTATTATATACGTTTTGCTAATTTTCAAGATGATGTATCGTACTGTTGGATTTAAATTTTATGTATTAGGCCTTTGTATAATGTGTTTAGTATTTGCTCTTTTGTATGTATTGAAAAATTAATAATTGTATATGTAATTTTTTTCAAATCTAAGCATTGATGTTTTATTTTATAGTTATCATGGCAAATCTGGTCAAACTCGAATTTGAAGCTCTCGATATATCTGGGAAAAATTGTATCTCATGGACATTGGATGCCGAAATTCATTTGGCGGCAAGGGGATTAGAAAAAACAATAATCTCCCCAAATGATTCATCATTTAACTGTAAAAGATCCTGCAGATCTCTGGAAAGCCTTGAAAGAAATGTATGATCACCAGAAAACGGTGATTCTCCCTCGGGCTCGTTATGAATGGATGCACTTACGCTTCCAAGATTTCAAAACTGTAAACGAGTACAATTCAGTGATGTTCCGCATTTGCTCGGTATTGAAATTATGCGGAGAAAACATAACTGATTACGATATGCTGGAAAAAACGTTGTCTACATTCCACGCATCAAATGTACTATTGCAGCAACAATACAGAGCAAAAGGCTTTGTAAAATATTCTGAGTTAATTTCTTGTTTGTTGCTGGCTGAACAAAATAATGAACTGTTGATGAAAAATCATGAATCTAGACCCACGGGGTCTACTATTGTCCCTGAAATAAATGTTGTAATATCTAGACAGGGAACCGGAACTGAAAACAGCCAAACACATATGCGTGGATATACCTCGGGACGTGGCCGGGGTCGTGGACGTGGACGTGGCCGTGGCCGTGGATATGGTCCAGACCGCCGATTTGACCGAGGGCACAAATTTCACCCAGGATATAACTCGGGCTGGGGATACAATCGTGGGCGAGGCCGTAACTATGCCCAAAATTTTGAAAGGGGGAGAAATTTCCAGCCAAAATTTGAACAGAATAATGTGACGGAAAATAATGATGAAAAAACATGTTATCGATGCGGAAGGACAGGACATTGGGCACGCAATTGTCGTGCTCCGAGACAAGTTGTTGATAATTATAACAATTCCCAGAAACCAAAAGATAAGAATATAGAAACCAATTTTATGATTGGGGAATCTTCTGGAAATGATTCAACACGTATGGATGATGAATATGGCATCGATGACATATTGAACCTTGATTTTGCTGATGCGGTAGTTGAAGACAGAACTGGAAATGACCACGAGAATAATTGATGATCATGTTTTTTTATTGCTTTTTAAGTTTTGTTGTATGTGTGTGCTTTTATCTGAATTTCGACTTTAATCAATAGTAAATGTTGTTTTTCTTTTAGATCATGGATCGATCTCGAATCCAAAATGGAGATATATGTCTTGCAGATTGTGCAACTACTCATACTATACTCAAGGACAGAAAATATTTCGTCAACTTGAAATTAAATAAAGCAAAGGTAAACACAATATCCAGAAATGCAAAGATAATTGAGGGTTCTAGAAAAGCCATATTTTTTATGACGGGAGGTACAAAATTTATATTGAATGATGCATTATTCTCCCCAAAATCAACAAGAAACTTGTTGAGTTTTAAAGATATCCGAATGAACGGATACCACGTTGAAACAATGAATAAAGGGGGAGTTGAATATCTTTGCATTACCTCAAATATTGCGGGAAATAAATGTGTTTTGGAGGAATTACCAGCTTTATCCTCGGGCTTATATTACACACGCATTCATATTATCGAGACTTATGCTGCAACAAATTCAAAGTCAGTTGAAATGTTTAAACTTTGGCATGATCGGCTTGGTCATCCTGGCTCAATAATGATGCGAAGAAT